TTTAGATCAGTTCCAACCCTAACTTGGTCCATTGACACCTATATTATTTTCTTCTATCAAAGGACCATATATTGGTTCAGTCCAATTCAGTCCACTATAAATCCATTACCCACCGACCAGGTCCAATCCAATCCAATAAATACTTTGGACCATTATGTTTGGACTAGTCCAGTTCAATATGTCATATTGGTTCATCCAATCCATCCAAAATGATTTTGATTTGGACCATTAAGCACCTTTGCGAAAATACTTTTATAAAAGCACTTTTACAAAAGTACTTTTGTGAATGCATTTTTACAAAAGTACTTTCATCAAAATACATTTACGAAAGCATTTTTGCAAATATACTTTTATGAAAGACCTATTGCTAAAATATTTTTATTCATTCACTTCGGATTGGATTGGACCCAATTTTGTCCGTTTGCATTTTAATTGGATGGAATCGAAATGTAGCAAGTGTTTTAGTTTTTTCATATATTTTTTGGATTTCTCGTGTTATTTTGGTGTTTGATTCAATTTGGACCAGATTGGACCTAATCCGGTCCATTTGCATTTTATTTGTATTGGATTGGACTTGATTTGTATGGATTTGGACTGGATTTGATCCAGTCCATTTGTAAATGGACCAATATTGGATTGGACTGGATTGGACCAAATCCAGTCCAATTGACAGCCTTAGTGATATGTAATCTTGTTAAAAAAAAAAAGAATTGGTTATATTAGAAGGCATCTTGTTCCAGATTTAAATTTATAGTTTTCAAAATTAGTCAGCCATAAATAAATAATTTCCAAAATTTGAAACCAAAGACCACGGGTGCAACTTGGTGTGCTCAGGCACGGTTGGAGTTTTGTTTAAATTTGAGGGACTTTTGGACTTTACTCCCCCTCATAAATATTTTTTGCAGCCCCCTCCTACTTTACTAGTAGCCCCCCTATAAACCACATCATGTCCATGAATTTGGCATCAATCTACAGGCAGGATTCAGTCTACCCCTAGGTGGAGCTAGGATTTCCTAGGGGTGGACAGAATCATAAAAACCCCTAAATTTGAATGGATCAGATTCGGAGGCCCAGGCCCAATGTAGTGAAAAATTTTCAATTTGGATATCCAACTTGCGCCCCTCTTAAATACCACTGTGCTAGAGTGTTAATGGGTTGGGTTTGGTTCAGGATAGGGAATCGATTCCATTTGATAGACCCATAATTGCTCCAATTATATTTCAGGACAATCAGGTATGACTTGATTTAGACAGTTTATACTTAGGCCCCTCGCTTTTCGGTAAGTTACTTACCCGGGTAAATGCAGTTACTTGAGTAAGTTTTTCCTGGAAAACACTTACCTGGGTAAGTGCATTTACCCATGCTCTTTTATTTCTCATGTAAATAAGGCAATGATCATTTTAGTCATAAATATCCATTATTAAAAAGGGAATTTTTGTCCCATTCAAGTGTTGACAGCTTTCCCCCTAAGTGGAAAAGTTAGTTACCCACCTAGGAGATGGGTATAAGTGATACCCAGGAAAATAAACTTTCCCTGATCCCCACATAAATTTGAAAACAAAAGAATATGGGATTCCTGGTTCCCCTCTCTCAAAATCCGAAAAAAGAATGCCCCTTAAAGATCTATAATTACCTCTAGTTATAATAACTCAAAATCTTATGTTTGATAACATAGAATTAATAAAAAATGCCTGTAAAATAGAAATTAATTGCTTGTTATATAGATAAAAAAGTGTTTTTCATCCAAATTTTTCTTATATACCATCTATGAAATTTATCCTTTTGGGCAAAAAATATTACAAAAATGAATAAAAAATATGTGACCTTTCTATATTATTAACCATAAAATCGATTTTGGTGTGAATCATTTCAGAATAGCAAAAACCGGTCTCCGCTCAATTACTAATCAGGACAAAACCATAGAAGCAAAACCAACTAATTGGTTTCATCAATTCAGTTCTGACAGGTAGACCCGAGTCAACCAACACATTGACAGCCCTAACAGTTCAGTGGCAAATGAGTTTTTCCACTATACAGAAAAAAACAATAACGACCACTAGATAAGAGAATAATTAAAAAAAAAAAACTAGAAACCACGGCTCTTAAAAGGCCATTACCCAAATTTGGTCCCAACTATATTGGGTATTGCTGAGTATAAACTAGGTAGGTGTTTGGCATCGGTGCTGAGAAAATCGCATTGTTTTATGAGAAATCAATGCTTATTTTTTGATTGAAAGTGATGCTACCACATAGGCTCTATTCTGAGAAAACAACACTGGTGTTGTTTGGTAGGGGTGTTCACGGGTCGGGTTGGGTCGGTTTATTGGGGTTTTCCCAACCGACCCGACCTGGTCGGGTTACCTAAGGTGGAAACCGAAACCRACCCACTGATAGGCCAAACCGACCTGGTCGGTTTGAGTCGGGTTGGGTCGATTTCGATTTTGCTCCTGTACAAAAGGACACTTAATTGAATTCTAACTGTAATTGCCTAATGGGTTGCCTATTTGGTGTAAAAGATTATAGAAAGTTAGAAACTATGATAGATTGCCTATTCTAATAGTAATTGCCTAATGGGCCTTCTAGTTCTAGTAGAAGACTAGTTATAGTTAAGTAGGAAACTACTCAAACTAGAAACTAACGAACTAGTAGAAGACTATTTTCGGGTCGGGTCGGGTTGGTTTCGGTTTTCACACAAGAAAACTGAAACCAACCTGATATATCGGTTTATATATTTGCCCAACCCGAAACCGACCGGTACTGATGAAAACCTGGCCGACTCGGGTTGGGTCGGTCCGGGTTGGTCGGTTTGATCGGGTTGGACATTCTTATGAACAGCCCTATTGTTTGGTATCATTGCTGTAGAATCATTTTCAGCATTGGTCATATTATCCAACGTACAAGATGATGCCACATCATTACACTACTGGTAGCAACGAGCTGATTTTTGAGAAAACATCAAATTTGGCGTTGCTTCAAACCACACTTTCTCGATTTCCAATGTGTGGTCTAAAGCAATGTTTTTTTTTCTGAAAAAACAGTACCAAATAAGAGATTGTTTTATGAAACACCTCTTTTTTCTGATGTGGCGCCTATATAGTGCTGTTTTCTCAAAAAACCGCATCCATGCCAAACACCCACTAGATGAGATCCCATCATTTGCTTTTTTTTAGAAAAATTGCCATTTTTATACTTGATCAATTTGCCTTTTCATTCAATAGCTAGACTCGCTTTGCTATAAACAATCAAATTAACATTAAAGTTTGATTACTATGTCTATTCAAGGTTCACGTTATCTGAACTGAAAATGAATATTGCCATATTGGGAAGGTAATCGCTTTTAAGATATGCATTGCAGTACGCTTTGGATGCACAATGTGAAGTGAAAGAAAAACTTTGCAAAGAAATATGTAAATATCAGTCTAAGCTCTAAGGTATTAATATATAAAATAATTAACATATGCATATATGACTTAGGGGTTATTTGATAATAGATGAAGTGGTTGAACTAGCAAACATATTATTTTGTCTTTTAGTGAATAAGATTTTGAAGGAGGTATGGCCTGGCTGAAGTTGAAGTTGGATAAATTATTATATCTCTGAATATTTTATTAATCAACTATTGTATCCATTAAAAGACAAAGAAATGAATCATTTGGTTCATCAACTTCAGTTGTTAAAATAAATCTTGTTAATATATTTGACTAATTATTTTATTTATTTTGTATTGATTATAATATTTTGTTAAATTTTAGACTCAGTTTGGAAATAATACAAAAATAAATAGGTACAGTACAAATCCATACAAAATAATGCAAAAAAAAGGCTGCATAATTGGTTGCAATACAATTTTATTTGCATTAGTACAAATAAAAAAAATACAAAATCTCGTTTAATTTTGTTTTGTGTTTTACTTTATTCTGTTTTATGTCTTAATTCACTTCATCTATACTGCAAACAAACAAAATATTCTAAAATGTAAAACAAAAATAGATCAGAATTTACACTCAAATCACTTGCACTGTGATAGTTTTGCATCAGTGCAAATTTATTTGCATTGCAGCCAAACACAGTCAAAGGTTTTTAACTGTACTATTTGTATTTGTACTCTTTCTAAACCAAGGCTTAACAAATACTAACATCAAAGACAAACTCTTGCTTACATGGCCTGTGGACAACATTACAATGCTTAGGTGTTTGGATCTGTTTATAAAAAATCAATGCCTATTTCACACCAAATAGGTGCCCACTAAATTCTAAAATTTTTTTTGGTCCAGCCATTTATGATTAAAACATTTTTCTCGAGTTATGTGAGAGCCCTCATTATAGCAATCATTTTCTTACCGTTCAACTTATGTGGCACATAATTAATGACGCTTAGCTGTCATAAAGTAACAAAAAACGTTTTGTCCCAATTTCAAGGAAAAATTCATACAAAATGTACGTTATTCTGATAGATGTCAATTTAACTAAACAGCCCCCTTAGGCTGTGTTTGATTTGAAGTAACTACCTTTTCCTTCAAATTAAACATAGCCTTAGTGAACGTTATATTTATAAATAGTCGTTAGGGTTATAATAAACCTAATTCTAGTTTTCACTTAAAAGAATATATATATATATATATATATATATATAATTTTGAAGTCGTCTCCTATTATTTAGAATGTTATTAAATTTCATTATTATACACCGTAAAAGAGGTCAATAATTATTAATTACCCACCTATTTTTGGTTTTGTTTGAACTTCAAAACATTGACCTGGATCTGCTGGGAACACAAATGTTAGAACCTGGCTATGTGATCAATTACAAGTGAACACGTCAGTACGTGTTCCATACCACACATGCCCACGTACACCAATTGTATTTGCACCAGATCTGGATTCATGTTCTTGCCTTCTTACTAATTTGTGTTGATTTTTTGTTCATGTAATGTCTATAAAATCCAGTTTCTTGAGCTCATGGTTATAGAGAGAGATAGAGAGGAAGGGAGAGAGCAAAGATGGCTGGCTATGAGTATCAGAGTGAGGTCATGACTGTGGTTTTTCTCTCTGTAATAGGGGCTGCGAGTGGATGGGGTTTGGCCCATGCGACATTTTATGGAGACGAAACCGGCCAAGCAACAATGGGTGAGTTCATCGATCTTTTTCTTTTTTTTTTTTTTTTTTACTTTCTTGGAAGAAGAAGGCTTTCACTTCGTATTTTCATGGTAGTTTTCACATCAATGCATGAAGAAGAAGACTCCCATTAATTTCTTACTCTAAACCGTTCTGATCGATCTGCATCAAAATGGAGAAACCAGGAACTGACTGTTTATGCTTTATTGTGTTGAATAGACGGAGCTTGTGGTTATGGCAACCTATTCCATCAAGGCTACGGGCTGAAAACGACGGCTTTGAGCTCGGCCCTGTTCAACAATGGCCAAACCTGTGGAGCCTGTTACGAGATCAAATGCCACGATGACCCAAAATGGTGCCGACCCGGCAGAATTCGTGTCACGGCCACCAACTTCTGCCCGCCTAACTACACCAAGCCTAGCGGAAACTGGTGCAATCCTCCGCTTAAGCATTTCGATCTCTCCATGCCCATGTTCGTAGAGATAGCCGACTACCAGGCCGGCATCATTCCGGTCAAATACCGCCGTGTAAAATGTGTCAGGTCCGGAGGCATCAAGTTCGAGATCAAAGGAAACCAGTGGTGGACGCTCGTTTTGGTGTACAATGTCGCCGGCGCCGGAGATGTTACAAACGTTATGATCAAGGGCTCCAACACTTATTGGATCCAGATGTCGCGAAATTGGGGCCAAAACTGGCAGACATGGACTCCGTTGCAAGGGCAGCGCCTCTCATTCCAGGTGACTACGAGCGACGGTAGAACGGTGACGTCCCGTAACGTTGCACCCGATAACTGGCAACTCGGTCAAACGTTTGAGGGGAGAAATTTTTAATCCGTGGAGGGTCAGAAATCTAGGGTAGCAAAAAAAAATAAACAAATAAAATAGAACTTATTTTCTCTTCCTAGCTTCTTCTTCATTAATTCTCCTTTTTTTTTTTGATAGATTCGTAAAAATTCTTCATTAATTCTCCATTAATTTGTGTGTTAATTAGACTTAGAAATAGAAAGACAAGCTTGTATTAACGGATTATTTTTGGGTTATTCGACCCAATTGGTAAACATGGGAATGATGATGAGAAAAATAATTTTATTATTTCTGGCTGTGAAATAATTTATCAACGTACGGCTGTTTATGTTTAACCAATAATAACGCCCCACGTCAGCCATTCAGACAAAATGGGGATCGAAGGATTATGAGACATATACTGATATATACACTTCATGGCTACGTGGGGTGTTATTATTGATTTGCACAGCCAACACAGTCATCAAATGCAGCTAATCCGAACAGTTTCCTATCAGTTTGCAAGTTGATTCGTTCAAATTCGAGAAAATTTTCCTAGTTTGATTCATTTCTTCTAAAAAGGCTAACGTGCCAAACTAATCCCAATAAATAGGACCTAAAATTTAGGAAATAGAGACCTAAACTTGTAGAAGTATATTTTTTCCAAATTAAGAAATGCTAAATGAGACCTAAACTTTACGAAACAGAAATAAAAATTGAAAATCCTAAATCTTAGGTTTTGTTTTTGAAAACAAAAGGTTGACATCTCAGAAAAATAATATGAACAATTGTTTTTGTTTGTAGAAACAAAATCAATAATGAAAGAAATACCCCCTTAGACGTATATAATTTTTTCTTCAACAAAAGAATTTAAAAGTAAACCAATCTTACATTTGAAATCATGCCTATGGATATTGACATGTAATGTTTAGTATTTTAACAATCGAACTAAAGAAAGTTGCAAGTATGGATATTTAGAAATATAAACTTAATTAACATTAGAAATAGGTGACACCTCAGAACAACTAGGTGACACCTGAAATCATTTTGGCAATAACTTGTCTTAACCAAGTTGATCGTGTCCCACCTAACGGCCTGGCACAGGCGCGGCCCGGCACAGGTGCGACCTGGCACAAGCGTGACCTAGCGGCCTAGCCCTGGCGTGAGCTGGCAGCCTGGCACTGGTGTGACCTAGCGGCCTGGCCCTATCGCGACCCGGCGGCCTGGCCCTGGTGACCTGGCCCAGGCACGAACTGGCGGCCTGGGAGACGTGCTCGGCGACAAATTCGGCATGCATATCCAAACACTCCCACGATCCTTGGAAGTTGGCCCACGTGCCAAACGATTCGGAGGGTGGTCAACGTGCATGGCGGTTACCTCCAGGAATCTCGAACCACTTAGACGACATCGCAGAAATCTCGGATATGGTGCATGAAGCCCACGCCAAACAATGCCTATATAAAGGCACCAACCCCAATGGCAAGTAAGCAAATAAGCAAATTCTAGTTCTCATACTTTGTGATTTTTAGCTCGCAGTCTACTATGAGAGTATTGACTTAAGCATCGGAGCAACCTCGCCGGGTTAGCCACACCGGGTCCTTTGACATTTGGTTCCTTGCAGGTCTCTAAAGAGCAACGAAGCTCATCAATCTAGCTCGCCGCCAGGCTGCTCGACACCTGGTCAACCCGGCACCTCACAGGCAGCTCGCCACCTAGTCAGCCCGACACCTCACAGGGAGCTCGCCATTTGATTAGTCCGGCACCTCACAGGTAGCTCGCCACCTGGTCAACCCGACAGCTCGACACCTGGTCAGCTTGGCACCTCATAGGCAACTCGACACCTGGTCAGCCTGACACCTCACAGGCAGCTTGCCACCTGGTCAGCCCGGCACCTCCCAGGCAGCTCGACACCTGGTCAGCCCGGCACCTCACAGGCAGCTCGCCACTTGGTCAGCTTGGCACCTCATAGGCAGCTCAACACTATAGTCAGCTCGCCACCTAGCCTGCCCAACTCGGCAGCCAAAGTTCTCCACTTCAGCCTGAGTCATCGGCCACTTGGAAGCAGACCAAATGATGAGGTACTTAGCACAAAAAATTGGCTATCACCCAAAAATTGATTCATCAGACATTGACATGTAATGTTTAGTATTTTAACAATCGAACTAAAGAAAGTTGCAAGTATGGATATTTAGAAATATAAACTTAATTAACATTAGAAATACAATAGAAATTAAAGGCAATCATATTATCAGAAAGTGTATAAGTGAGAAACAAACCAAATCAAACCTAAGAAAAATTTCTGCTTCATGGGGCCACACGATTGGGGGTAATGATTAGGAGTGTCAATGGTATTCGGAAATCAGATTCAAAATTTGAAAGTTGAAATAATTCAGTCGAGTTTGGATAATTTGAATACCATAGTCGTCCAAATTCAGATATTTTATTCATATCGATTAACTAATCAAATCAAATTCAGATATGTCCTGATTCAACTTGAAATGTTCAACTTCAACCAGCTATATAAATCATATATGTAATATATAAAATATTTAAATATTTTAGGTAATTTATATAATATATATAGTTATATAAATAATATATATGTATATTACTTACTTAAAATAATTAATTTATCAAATTCAAATTAAATCGAATATTCAAATATTTAATTGAATTTGAACATTGAGTTTTATAATCAAATTTGGATATTGTCTTATTCAATTCGAATTCAATTAGTTTACACCCCTACCATAACCCCCTAACATTGGTGGCAGCAAGAAGTATGTCAACAAGCTAGGCTCCACATGAGTTTGCCTTAACCCTAACCTGACCCTACAGCACCTCAACCCGAGGCCGATCTGCTCCGCCTTAAAAATATATAATTCCGAACCCAACTTGACCCTATAGGGTCTAACCCGATACCGACCCGACCTGACCTATAGCATTTCAATTGTATTTTTTTTACAGATTTTGAAGATCTAAAATCCATTAATTTAAGTTCCTTTTTATAGATTCTAAGGTATCACTTTCCCCATTTAAAAAAAAAAAGAAAAAAAAAACAGAAAATCAAAACCAAAATGTAAACAAATCTTAAACTATTAAGGCTATAGAGTTAGAAGTCAAAAAGTTACAAAAATACTTTGTATATATGAAGGATATCATGACCTGGTGGGGATAGGGCAGCCAAAACCTAAACCGACCCAAATTGAGACAAAGAATCAAAACCCTAACCCAACCTTATAGGGTCGATCGGGTCAAGCCAAGTTTACCATTTAACCCGACCCATTGACATCTCTAACAGAAAGATTTGATCCTAAATCAACCTATGGAAATTGAATAATATGAACCTAGGTCGACCTAAAACTTATTCCTGACAAACCAAGTTCACTTAAAAGTGGCGAATTTGGAATTGTTAACCAGAATTTGAACCAAGCGAGCCAACAAACCAAGTAACCATGATGGTTCATTTCATCAAGTGATAAATGAAGTTCTGTATACAAGCCACCACAGAACAGAGTAAAGATAAAGTTTACTCGTAACAACAAGTCGCACCCGTTCAGAATAAACTTTAGCCATTATCAATGGTCCATTAGAAGTCGCTTTTGGAATTGGCAGCCCAGATGCATGTTTTGTCTCTGTTTTGGGAGACTGTTTTCATTTTTTTTCCATCATTCCATCGGTCATCGATCAAATGGATAGAAATGATTCAGCCGAAACTAGGAACTTTTGCTTGTTTTGTCAATTTTAGTCATTCAAAGAGACGATCGACCATTGCATTGTGCAGATTGATGCCCACGTATAATATGCCTGTAGAAAAAATTTAGGAAATCCATCAAATGGATGTTTCTTAATCTGATTTTTCGCATTCATCAACCAAAATGGTAGTCCTCATTAAATGTGACAACTGACAAATTTCTAATTATAATTCAAATTTCAAAGTTCACACCCATTTAATTTTCTCCCATTTTTCGTCCAGATCCAGTATGAGGAGGTTCCCGAATGATTTTCTTACTTTTTTTTTTTTTTTGAAATTTACCAAGTTCAAGTCCATAGATGGTTTTGTGAGTTATGATTCATGAATGGAAACTATAAATTGGGAAACCTTAATTAATTTTACATTCCTTTGACAGACTTTCCATAGTTTGGAAGCTCTACGTTTTCAAAACGTTCTATCTATATATACTAGTTGTCTGAACGTAAATTTGCATTGCGAGCAAAGGCACAGACTGAAAAATGGCGAGGTCAAGATATGTTTTAGTGGCGACCGTTCTGATGTCCTCTGTAATGGTGGATGTCACCGGAGATTATAGCTGGGACTACGCCCATGCGACATTTTACGGTGATATCCACGGCGGGGGAACCATGCGTAAGTTATTAATTACTATTCCTGGATATGAAACTACGATTGTTCTTCGTTAATTCAATACTAGCTGTTCTTCTATTGACTTATATATGGCTTGATGTTTTACAGAGGGAGCCTGCGGCTACGGCAACCTCTTCAGTCAGGGCTATGGCCTTGAGACCACGGCGTTGAGCACAGCTCTCTTCGACAATGGCCTCAGCTGTGGTGCTTGCTTTGAAATCCAGTGCTACGACGACCCAAATTGGTGCTTTCCTGGTACAATTCACGTAACAGCAACCAACTTCTGCCCACCTAACTACAGCAAACCCAATGACAACTGGTGCAATCCGCCTCTGAAGCACTTTGATCTATCAATGCCCATGTTCCTGAAGATTGCGAAGTACAGAGCTGGCATCGTCCCTGTCCAATACCGACGCATTCCGTGCGTTAAAACCGGAGGCATGAAGTTTGAGATCAATGGAAACCCTTATTTCATTCTCGTGCTCATCTACAACGTCGCAGGCGCAGGCGACGTTCGTGATGTGAAGGTTAAGGGATCCAATACTGGTTGGATACAGATGACGCATAACTGGGGCCAGAATTGGCACACTCAGACTCAGTTGGTTGGACAGAGCTTGTCGTTTCAGGTGACTACCAGTGACGGGAGGATGGTGCAATCCGATGATGTTGCACCGGCGTACTGGAAGTTCGGCCAGACCTTTGAAGGGAAACAGTTTTGGAGAATTTGAGAGTTGCTTCTTTTTCACGCTTTTTATGAGTTATATTGTGAATAACAAGTGTAACGGAACGATGTGGGTTTTTCCACTTATTATTTCAATAAATTACAAATAAGAAATAACATGCAGTTTGCTTCGTTTTACAATAAATTTTACATCTATCTGGGTCTGGCTGGTGGAAGTGGAGACGACAATTTTTCTGATTTCACCAGGGGTTGATGGTCGGGTAATGGTTTTTGGGTGGATCAAATGACGTTTTTCCAGTTAATCTATCGTCCTATGGAAACCTTTCATTTATTTATTATTATTATTATTATTATTATTTTTGTTTAGAGATTGGACCATTCGTTAGTTACTTAGTCGTTTGTTCCGTTGCTTTCTGTTTGTCTACGCTTTGCTTCATGATAGTCTTTCACTGTGTCTGTGTGTTTTATTAGTTTTTCACTATTAGGTGAGACTTTGGCTACTTTATTCATTTATCTCTCGTCAATTTGTTTTCTTCTCTGGTTACTTTATTCATCTCTCCAGTCCACTTTTACCAATAAGTTGAAAAAAAACCGTTGATTTCGGTAAAAAAACGCTTAGTCAAAGCAGTCAACCTGAGGGTCCGTTTGGTTCACAGTTGAAAATCAGTCATTCCCATAGTCTGTTTGGTTCAGACAAGAATGAAAATGGGAATTAAAATCAGTGGGAATGAGATTTCATTCTCAAGGGAGGAGCAGGGAATGGCCATTACCGCAAATGGGGGAATGTCATTCTAGCAGGAATAGAAATGGGATTCTGATTCCACCCAACCAAATAGTTGGAATCGGAATAGCCCATTCCCATGAACCAAACGGGGCCTAAATTACTTGTTTGTTAATTGGATTCTACTTCGATAGTGGAAAGACATCATACGAGAAAAACTTATGGGCGCAACCAACCTATATAATAAAAGAGATGGTATTCATTGAATTCATAGGGTGCTTTGGTCGGTTAAATCTCTTTTAGGACCATGTCTTTATGATATCATAAATTTTCCTTCATTAAGGGTATGTTATTCAAAAGTTACGCTTTAGTGAGAATGGCTAATTTAATAGTAAATTTTTATTGGTATATAATAATTTTTGAATTATTTTAAGGTAAGATTACAAGAAAAACTACTGATGGAGGTAAATTTGACCCGACCTCTTGACCACCTGACACGTGGAAGCAGTCAAGGGTGACCTGGCAAGATCGACAGCTCGGCACAGCAGTGCTCAAGGCGCGAGCTCCAAGAAGAGGAACCCCGAGCTCCCCCAAGAGGGACCTGTGACCCGAGCTCCCCCAAGAGGGACTTGTGACCCGAGCTCCCCAAAAGAAGCCCGGACTCTCCCCTTGGCCCCAAACCTTGCGAAGATCACAAAGGGCCACAACCCGAACTGGCCCACCCCAGGGCAGTTCGGGCCACACTTCTATCCGAACTCAAGACTTTACCTCGCGCACCACTCCGGCACTGTCTCCTGGCCACCGAATTGAACCACCGTACCTGACACCAGAGCCCGTATCCTGAGGTGGCGCACCAGACTAACTTGGGATCTGACGCTTGACAGCCACACTTCAACGACCACCTGCCACCGCCACCTCTAGTTACAGAGACGGCTTCGACAAAGAGAGCAGTGGCGATTGCCTGCCCCAACAAAGGTGACGACACCCGAACTGGCAGAAGTGCAAAGGTAATGACACCCGACCTGACAGGAGCTTGGGAGTGAGTGCGCAAAGTGGTTATAAAAGGCCATCTTCCCCCCGAGAATGGAGGTACGTGATAACTTTGCGCTATCTGGTCTTGATCTTGCCTTTGAGGAAATACTAACTTGAGCTTCAGAGCACCCTCACCGGGTTCCTCCCCGGAGACTCCTCGCCTTCTTCTCCGTTTCAGGCACCTGTTGCTCCAGTCAAAGGCAAGGTCGTTGACAGCTAGGACTGACCGGATTGCGCTACATCAACTACTATTATGATAATTCTATAAATCATGTTTGTGTTTTGACCTTTGACCTTTATGTAGTTCAAAAAAAATGCAAATACCTCATTTTCATTGAAGTAACAAATATACTATTATCATCATTGTTAAGGTGTTACCATACAATGTTTCAACTTTACATTCCACTAATTTATTTTGCGTGACAACTTTCAGATATTAAATCTCTCTACTATTTTTGGACAAAATAAGCTAAAAAGGCTGAAGTGAATTAAAAGGAAGTATATCTTTTTTCCAAGGTATTCTAGTAAACTTACATTTGAATGAAGTTGGTTAAGAGTAAATTTGGTATATTAAAAAAAACATTGCATTACATTAACATTTTCTATTTCGAATGCTAATGGAATGAAGTGATTTGCTCTTTTTCTCAAAACAATATGGGAAGTTTTTGTTAAGGTCAAAAGGCAAGGAGGTTCATAGGATTGTTAAATTAATTAAACTATATTAAAAATTGATAGTTTTCTATGGTTTTTTACTAATTCTTATTAAATTTAATTAGTTATATTAAATTTTTATTTCCAATGGAATTTAAGTTGGTTAGTAAAATAATAATTATAAAACTAATAATTTTGTATTAGTGTTATATTAATAATAAATGAATTTTAATTGGATATTAGATTTTAGTTCATCTTATTACCTTTTTATTAACTAATTTATCTTTCTTATTTTAATAAAAACATTGTTTATCAATATAATGACAATAATAATAATAATAATAATAATAATAATAATAATAATAATAATAATAATAATAATAACTTTTATTAATTTTATCAACAACGTTTTATTGAATATTTTTAACTCGGATGGTTAAACCATTCAAAACATTACTCGGCCTATTTCTAATTCGAGTATCCTAAAACCTATTAATTTGTTAAAAATAGCTGGTTTGGTCAAACCTGTTTGACCTATGCAATTGAACCATTGACCCTTTTGACATAGCCATTGGTCAAACCTGTTACAATATACAATGTACTGAAAACTTCTAGAAAACTTAACTTTGTGTCTATTTAGTTTTGGACAACTTTTTTATGATCTTTGCATCCCCACTATACCAAAAAAAAACTAATTTTTGTGCCCTTATTTTTTATTGTTGGCTCTTTTATTTATATATGAATAAAAATAAAAATATAAATATAAATTAAACCAAAAATAATATATACACACAGAATGTAAATTATATTATATCATATTATGCATATACAAATGGATTGATGTTGCGCGATCTGACTGCTCCTTGCCAGAGGTGATATGGCTTCCAGTAAATGGCGAACTAGGTCGATTCTGCAAAAGAAGAATTAGAGAACTCGGGGATGTTTGCTCGGCGAGGTCGCTCCAGTGCTTAAGTCAGTATATTTGGTTGCGAGCTGAAAAGCTTTAAAATGTAGAGAGCTAGAGAGCAGATAAATCACGCGTCCCGTGGGCCTCCGAGGTTAAAGCCTTTATATAGTGGAGTCCTCACGGGTTTCGCGTAGCGGTTCCGGGATCCTCGTCATGATGAGATCCGTTTCCGCATTAATGGGGGATAACTGATGATAGGGCTTATCAATTCCGCCTGAACTAGACGGGGAGGAGATAAGGCTTATCATTACGAGGCGTGATCCCGCGAGGCTCAGAATCTGACGGCGAGATCTTCGGGGTTGCCATGTAGTGGTTTGTCAGTATTACCCGAGCTAGTGCTCTTTAGATCCGACTTGGGGTGAACGCCGAAGTGCCTTGGGACCGAGGTGGTCCTGATGCGACCTTACATCGAGGTGAACTCATCCACTTACACCGAGGTGAACTCGTCCCGATGTGGTTTGACTATCCGAACTCGATCTGTTGCGGACTTGGCATGTCGGGCTGAACTGTCATCTTACTATTTAGGTCGTGTCCACGTGTCCCCCTATTACTAGGTCGGGCCAAATCACCCTTCATCATGGATGATAGTTCATGGTTTGACTCATCCAACCTAGACAGATGAACTATTAACCCATGATCTAGAGGCAAAAACTATTCATCCTCCAAGTTTGTTTTTTAAACATTGGTTTTATTTATTGAGTGAAGTAAATAATTTATATTATGAAACATGAATTACTCGATTATTTAAATTAAAAATTAATTATCTTTTAAATGGATGTAGATTATTTAGCCTAATATCATTGAATATCTCCATTTCAATGTATTTGTTTTTATTAATAATTATAATTTAATATAAACATATATATGATGTATATAAAATTATGGTTTGCAAGGTGCCAACCAGCTGGTTGGTAAGGTCATTGGTCTCCCGCTGGTTGTAGCGGATACTTGGGATCAAATCTTGCCTTCACTTATGATGGGGGGTTATGGATTGGGAGATGGGATGCCCCCATTTTGTAGCCCTTCAAAAGATAAAAAATGAAATGAATTTTAGGTAATTTAATGGAATAATGGAGAGGAGCGAAAATTAGCATAATGAGTTATTGAAATAGATAATTAATGGCAAGAATAGATAATTAAAGTTCTTAATGAGAAAGAAGATAGAGTGTTAATGAGATAATATAAAAGTTATTAAAGCTAATTGACTGCTTGAGTTTGTTTGTTCACTTTTGAAACTAGAACATTTCAATAAATGAAAAATATGGTAAATACATTTCAAAACAAGGAAGAAAGTGACAGCTTGACACATTTTCAAAAGATCAAATAGGAAATAAATTTTAGGCAATTTAATGGAATAATGGAGAATAGCGAAAATTAGCAGAATGAGTTATTGAAATAGAGAGTTAATGGCAAGAATAGATAATTAAGTTCTTAATGAGAAAGAAGAAAGAGTGTCAATGAGATAACATAAAAATATTAAAGCTAATTGACTGCTTGAGTTTGTTTATTCACGTTTAAAACTAGAACATTTCAAGAAATAGAAAAAATGATAAATACATTTCAAAACAAGAAAGAAAGTAGCAGCTTGGCACATTCCATATAGATATAGATAATCATTAATGTTAACAAACAACCTTAAACAAATGATCGATGCATTAATTAGTGAGTAATGGCC